TATTGCAATGTAATATATTATTTAAATATTACATTTCGATGTAAATTGTAAATGTATTATATGAGTGTTTCATTGTTGTTATTGTTATATATATATATACATATATATATATATATGATGTAGTGTGTTGCACTGATCATTTAATTGTGAATAAGATTGACACCAGACAAATGAGAAACACGTTCGGATCCAATTCGGTAAATGGGGGATAAATGTAAACAAACATCTGATATTATTTAATCAGATATTTATTATTTTATTTAAGAATGTTGCGTGCCAAGAAAAATGGAGTGATATATCAACAAAGTCACACCACTTTGGCGCGTTTCTAGAAAGTCAAACTTGTAGCCGTTGTCTGTGAATGCTTCAAGGAAGGTGTTTCATAATTATTTTACATCCATTAAAAAAAAGCACATTCCATTATAAATATAGCTTGCCACAAACCCATTAATCCTCACCAACAGATCTTAAAATCTTTAGCAAAAGTGTTACATTTCACTGCTTAATTCTTGTATCGCTTACAAGCATAGTAGCATACATACCATATTCATATACCTGCTCATATTTCACTCCCATCACCATTTCTTCAACATATACCATATTTCTAAAGAAGCCAATCTTTATCAAGAAGATTAATGGCAGAGAAGGAGCAGCAACCAGGGCATAACTCGGCAACACCATATAACTATGGCCGAGCAGACGAAGAGTCACAAACCAAAGAACTTAAACGCCAGAAACGAAAGAAACTTATTCTATATATTGCTGCGTTCGCTGTGTTCCAAACCATTGTTATAGTCATCGTTTCACTCACTGTCATGAAGGTCAAAACTCCCAAGTTCCGCGTACGTGCTGCCTCATTCGAGACGTTCAGTGTCACGGCGTCATCATTTGACATGAGAATGAATGCTCGACTTGGTGTTAAGAACACCAACTTCGGTCCCTACAAATTCGACAATACTACCATTACCTTCTACTACAGGGGTGCAGAAATAGGGGATGCTTTTGTTCCTAAGTCAACGGCTAAATTTCAATCAACCGAGAGGTTCAATGTTACAATAAACCTATCATCAACCAATTTACCAACCAGTTCAGAATTAGGAAGTGATTTCAATTCTGGGATTTTGCCACTGAGCAGCACATCAAGATTGACCGGAAAGGTGGAGCTAATGCTGGTGATGAAGAAGAAGAAAGCTATCAATATGAATTGCACCATGGAAGTTAATATCGCCAGCCAGCAAATCCAGAATTTGAAATGCAAATGATAAATATTTGTGTTAATCTGCTTAGTGTTTAATTCCTGAAAATTCTTTTGGTTCTCTTATTCTTTGTAATTTTTTTTCCCTCAATATATTTGAGTGTGCACTTAATATATATTTTTTTGCGCCATCCTTTTCTGCCTTTTTTTTTTTTTTAGTTCATAACGTGTGTGTTTTTTGATACAATATACTACATATGTCCCAAAAAAAAAGTGTCATGTTTTAGGAACCGTGACAGCTCAATTTGTGAGAGTCACAGTCCCCTAAAAGTAACACTTTTTATAAGACAAAGAGAATAATTAATATAACATGCACAAATGGCATTTTCATAACATCTTCGAGATGAAAGGGATCCTAAATGGTGCCGTATTACTTTCTTTAATGGTATTTGAAACCTACGAGGCAGAGACCCAAACAAATTTTTTTTTTTTTTTTCTAACAACTTTGTTTTCATAATAGCTTGCGTATCATTAATTAATCTTAATATAGAATTCGTCAAAGGTTTTGTTTTTATCCAACCTAACATGGACGGTGCCAACATGGGCTTGGGGCATGCTAGTTTATTTATTTATTTATTTTTTAACCTGGCAATAAGAAACAGCACAAGTACCATACGTAAAGGCATAGGACAAACCCCAAATAAAACCACCATAATATGAGATATGGGCACAAACACCCTGCACCTATAAAAGCATTCCATGGCCCAACCCAAACAAAGACCCATGGTCAATTGATCCTTTTTAAATGCAGGCCACAAAAAAAGGCTTAAACCAAGACCAAACTGGACATCAGCCCCCCAGAGAAGAGACCCACCATTACAATCAGGTACTTGACATTTTAGTGATCTATAATACGTGGGCCCACCGTTCTAGAAAAAACCGTCTTTGCATTTTCCCCACGTAGCAACAAAGGATAGCTTGACCCGGAAGCCAAAAGCAGACCCCACATTGTATGACGTGAGAAACGAGGGGGAGCTTGGGTTGCACGACGACCAAACGGAGGGAACTGACCAATCGCCGACGAACCACCATCATTGTGAGCCTTGTCTGCAACAACAAAACACCACCAAGAATAGAAATTAAACAATAGAAAACCTATGCACCAAATGATTTCCAGCCTCACAGATCTTTCTAGTGACACTTAGCCACGACCTATAGTCAATGGTGGCCGGAGGAGAGGCAGAACTGATCAGAGCAAGAGAGATAAGCAGCAAACCTGCCGCAAGAAAACGTCAATGTGAGAGAAACACCAGCACGCAAGACTAAGAAAACGACGCACCAAAAGAAATGAAATTTATAAAATACCCTAAACGAAATTATTTTTTTCTTTTAAATGTAGAAAATTTATAAAATACATGCCTCCTCGGCCATGCTTAACCATTAAATTTTTATTTTCAATGTATATAATTTTCTTTGTCTTTTTAATTCTCTTAAAAAAAAAAAATTGCATTTCCTTTCTTGAATTGATTTTCTCATATGTGAATACGCTCCCAAAACCATATTCTTGACTATGTTACTAGATCCTAAGATTTTCTAGCTAAGTAGTTAATCAGTATTTGAATTTTAGAGATTTTGATTCGGTTGTACATTCTTTTAAAACAATCAAGCTTCTTTAAAAAAAAAATAATAATAAGTTCACAATTCTATCATATTCCATAATACTGCGTTTGGTATGCAGGAATTGAATAGAATGCAAGTAGGAATGGAATGAGAATGAGAATGAGAATGGGATGCCCATTCTCATTCTATTGTTGGATTGCAAATATGAAACATGAAGGAATTGAATGATAATGATCATTCTATTATTTGATTTGACCAATTTAAAATTTAGAATGAAATAAATTTCAAATTGAATTCTCAAAATACCCCTATTATTGACAACTAAATAAAATTAACAGAATATCATTCTTCTATCATTTTCTTAAAAGAAAATACGGCGGTGGTAGATGGTGGTGATGATGGTGGTGGAGGTGAAAAGCAGCAGTGGTGTGGTGATGTTGGAAGGCAGTGGTGGTGTTAGAAGGCAACGGTGGTGGTGGCAGAAGGCAATAGTGGTCTGATAAGCGTCGAATATTGCACATTCAAGCGCCCTTATTTGCATTAGTTAAGTCTATTGGTTGATTATACTATATATATTAGCATTATTTGCATGCTTTTGTCTATTTTCAGGTTGGTTCCCTAAATAAAGTTAAAAGTGATGCTTTGATAAGTTTTTGAAGATCAAAGTATGCCGTTGCCAGGGACAGTCATTTTAGCCAGGCCAGTGATCCATTGAACTCATGAGTTTCGTTGCATCGTGCCTAGGAAGAGGACCACGTCAACGAACCAAGCCAAAAGTAGTCCAAGCATAATGAAGTAAGATTGTGAAGCTACGGGCGCCCGCCATGAACTCGCGGGCGCCCGCCAAAATGGGCCAAGAGATTGTGATGCTGCGGGCGCCAGCCCAAATGGCCAAAAGCATCGTGAAGGTGCGGGCACCCGCCCTGCACCTATGGGCGCCCACCATTCTGCAGACAAGCAAGCATGGGCTCCCTCCTCTTCACCTAATGTTATCCCCTTAATTAGGGGATTGCTCTACATTTTTTCTAAGGGCTTTGGACCACGAAAATAAGGTGGTTGGGAGGCTATCTTGAGTATCTAGAAGGCATGTATGGTTGTTAGAAGGATATCTTACATTTTTGTAACGTTTTAGAGAGAGAAATATTGGGTTCTAAAGGGTTTATGTGTCTTATAGCCTTGAGGTGCGAAAATGGTGGGGATGATGATCTCTTCTCATTCCTTCCTTGCTCCTATGGGTAACTAACTCCCTTTTTAGGGAGGTGATGAAGCCCTTCCTTGTAAGCATGCCTTAGTTTTTGTTTATTTTGGGGGAATGATGTATATATTTGGTCTTTCCATAATCTAGAGCTATACACATGTTGTAATGGATGTTAATGTTTATAAATGATTATTTTGAGTTTATTATCTTGTCTTAGATTGTTTTCTCTCATGATCATATGGCTTGCATTTTCATAGTGACAATGGAAATGAGATTGTGGAATGGTTTAATGGCATGTTGTTTAGAAAATTTGATAGTCCATAGCTTAGGGCCTTCCTTTGATGGACTATACTTGGTTTTTAACTTCATGTGCTCTTATCATTTGATTAAAGGTTTGATAATCTCTAGCCTAGTAAGCATGTCTAAGGCTACACCCTAGTTTAAGCATGTACAACTTTGATAGGTTATTTTTGCCATTGATTTCATGAATTTCTTGAAGGTAATGTAGCAACCATGTGTAGCAACATTTCATGGCCACTTTTATATGTTGTTTCCCAAAGTTAATCATATTCTAGCATGTTTAGAGGGTTGGTAGTGGATTCATTTCCCTAATCCTCTCAACCTAGATTTATTTCCTCTTTAAATTCCTTACATTTATTGTTTTATGCAATTCTTAATTCTAGTTTCGAAGTAACAAACAAAACCAACTCTTATACCCCCTTTTATCAAACTAAAAGTGATTTTACAATCTTGGTTGCCATAAACTAACAATCCCAATGGTTTGACTTACCCGTCCAATAGCCATATTTTACAATGATTTGTGCTATTGCAAAGGGTTGATTATTATTGATAGTCGACAAGACCGATCATGGTCTTGGTGGAAGACGGTGGCACTGGCAGTGGTGGGAGTAGCGGTGGTAAGGCGTCCATGGTGTAGGTGATAATGGTGGAAGGCAGTGGCGGCAGTAATGGTGGTGGAAGACGGCAATGGTGTACGTGGTGGTGGTGGTACCGGTGGTGGAAGACAGTGGAGGTGGCGATGGTAGTGGCGGTGAAAGGCAGTGGAGGTGGACGTGGTGGAAAACGATGGTGGTCGTAGAGGTCAGTGGTGGTGACGATAATGATGGAGGTGGCAGCGTTATTAGTGGAGGCAACGATGGTGTGGTTGTGGTGGAAGGCGATGACAGTGGTGGCAGTGGTAGCGGTAGAAGGCAGTACTGGTATAGGTGGAAGGTGGCATTGGTGAAATACATTTGCAATGATGGCAGCGGTAGTGGTGGTGGTAATGGTAACGGTGGTAGTGGCAATGATGGTGGTGGAAGGCAATGGAAGGGGCGGTGGTCGGCAGTGGTGGTGGAAATCGGTGGTGGCAGTGAAAGGCACTGGAGGCGGAGGTAGTGTGGTGGTTGAAGGTGGCAAAAATGGTGGCGATGGTAGTGGTGGAATAAGTTGGTGATGACGGCGGCGGTAGAAGTGGTGGTGGTTAGTGGTAGTGGTAGAAGTCGGTGGTGGTAGTGGTGCAAGTCGGTGGTGGTGGTGGTAGAAAGCAATGGAGGCAGCGTCAGTGTGGTGGTTGAAGGCATCAACAATAGTGGTGATGGCAATGGCAGTGGGGGAAGGCAATAGAGGTAGCGGTGGTGAAAGATAGTGGTGGAACGCAATGGAGGTGGTGATGGTGAAACGCGGTGGTGGTTGTGGTAGAAAGTGGCGGTGGTGGTGGTGGTGATGGCGGCCTCGGTGGTGGAAGGTAGTTGTGGTTTTGACGAGGGTGGTGGTAATGGTGGTGGTAGTGGTTTTTGAACTTGAAACATGAGGGTTATTTGGGAACTTGATTTTTTAAAAAAAATTATTTGATAATGTAACGACCAATCCATAGGTTTAGTTTTGGAATGGATTTTCATTCCAATGGAATACCCATTCTCACTTTAAATTGCATACCAAACAAAGGAATGATTGGAATGGACATTCTATTCTTGCACACCAAATGCAGCATAAGAGAATTCAAGTCCCTTGAATTGTAATTAGCCACAACTTTATTATACCAAACTATAATATGTTTAGGTACATTTTTCCTAGTTGGATGAGTCAACCATTTTCTATAACAAACCAAAATTTCACATTCATAGGTTTAAGAAAAGCTCTCATTCGGACTTGCCAATAGTTATCGTTAAACTCTCCACATATATTTTACTTAGATATGGACCCACCTTCCTTAAGACCTTTTAAAATCTAGAAAGTACTTTAACGCAACCCACTATGATACTAATTAATAGCTAGTTTGTTAGACCATAACCTAAAATCTAATAGAGAGTTGCGTAAGGTTCGCGGTCTTGATCTAAAAAGTGAAATGGTTTCAACTATTGCAAAGATGGATGTTGAGTTTAGAATTCTGTAAGGGCTCCCAGTCCATAAGTTCAAAACTAAGTGAATACTCAATTATATAGTCTGGTTTGGCTGTTTTTTTTTTTTTTTTTTATTTTTATTTTTTTGGGCGTGCTCGGGTCTATTTTGACACAAATTGTTGAATGGATAGCCAAACTGTAAGGCCCCAATACATAATTATTTTTATTAGCATAATTTAATTTTTATTAGACATAATTTATGGAATATTTGATGTAGTAGTTTGTATGGTGAAGTTAATAGTTGGTGTCAAAACTTATTAAGTTGGTGACAGCCAATGGTAAGAAAATAAATAATAAAAATAATAATATTATTATTGAAAGTAGCATGTGTACGTGTGTGTGGTTACGTGTGTGATACTAGAGAATGGGTGTATACTAAGGTCATTGGTGCTGAAAGTAATAAATGGTGGAAGTGGTGTGATGGTTCTAATATATATTTGTATACTTATGTTTTATTTTAAAGTTTGACCAAGTATTAATTTATATATATGGGTAAGTTACTGGCCAGGTCAAGTACATATTCCACCTACCCATGTATGTAGATATCTAGTAATACACTTTATTCTAAAAGCTTCCAAAGGAAGCTGTTACTAATTGACACACACACGCATAAGTCACGAAGAGGGGAAAATCAAATTTAATATCTAAGTGACACGTTGTCTAGAGATTTGCATGGACAAGAAAAAGAAAAAGAAAAGAAGAACGAACAAGGTGAGGAAGGGCGGATTAATAGGAAAAAAAAAATTAGGAAGGGAGAAAAGGATGGGTGGCCGCAAATACAGTGGCTGAGGACTGACGAGTAAGGTGTACACATAATTCTTCTACATCTTCATCATTCAGATTTATTATCTGAAACCCATATAGTTGATATAATATGTTCTTGAATAAATTCTATTTATTTGTTGGTTTTCTCTTAATTTGATTGTAAATTTCTTTTAGATTAGGCAAATCTTGTTAGGTAGGTATGAATTAGATTTATATATTGATATCTTTAGTATATAAATTTAATTATTATAAGGGATGAGATGTCAAGTGTGTCTTGGAAGCTTTGTGTGAACAATTTTATACTAAGAGAAAACAAAAATTTAGCTTTCTGTAGCCATTGTATTGAACCCATAAAAATTAGACAAAAGACGAAATCCGTGGGATGAAGTGGCTGGAGAGAGAGTGAGGAGGAAAGAGAAGAAAAGAGCAAGAAAGAGAGAAGAAAAAAATGTAAAAGGAAGGAGGCGAAATTTCTATTTGGAATTGTGGTTACTAGTATTAAAGATAGAGAATTTTTCTATTGAAGGTTTATTGTGTGGTATTTCCATGGACAATTTGGTTAAATGGTTCTACCTACAATTACATCTATTTTATTTATTTTACTTGATTCCAGTACTATAATATTTAAATTTAAATACTTGTTAGTTGAAGAAATTGTGGAGCTGAAGTTAATATAATTATTCTTGTTATAATTTCTACTATAATTGTGTATGGAATTGAGATTTGTTATGAAGTTGATAATTGTTGTTCAATTATATTTAGAAATGAATATGACATAGTTATAATATTGTTTAGGCAAGGAGAAAGAGCAAACAACTTTGACCCTATCAAAGGATAAGTGAATAAATTGGGAAGTAGTCAAGGTGAGTGTATTCACTGAAAGCTTTACACTTGAATGTGTTATATTGAAGTATTGAAGTCATTTATGTGAAATGAAATGCATATATATATATATATAAGGTCCATACTCTGGCCTGGAAAGAGAGTACTTTAAATGAGGTCCATACTCTGGCCGGAAAAAGAGTACCATATTTAAATAAGGTCCATACTCTGGCCTAGAAGGAGAGTACTATAATATATAAGGTCCATATTCTGGCCTAGAAAGAGAGTACTATATTTTAATGCATGTAATATGTTAATGAAGTTTTATTAAAGCTATCAGATAATAGTTGTTTAGAATTACTCTGATGTAGTAGTGTTGCATTCACTGGGCTTTAAGCTCACTCCTTCCATATCTATATTTTTTTCAGGTACAAGGTTGGGTCGCTACTGCCAGGTCTAGAATTTTTGAGTGGGAATGGGAAAAAGAACAATGGAACGTCTTTTGTTTAATATGTAAATATTGTAATAGAATTTAATAGTATAAGTTGTCGTTAATATTTTTGTTTGTCAGAATTTGCATAACAGGCCTATAAGTAGTTTTTGAATTGTAAACTGTTAAACAGGTGCCCTGATGTAGGATGACGTTATGTTTGAAGGAGGTTAATGCAGATGGTTAGATGCATTCCAATTTATTCAATTTATTTAATAATGTAAATTGGGTTGGGACGTGACATAAACTATCATTGAATGCTACCGAATCAAAAAATCGGCCTCTAGATGGAATCAGGCGATTGTTGGAAGGCAAGGATGTCCCCTTCCTTCAGATTCTTCAGCGCCTCAATTAAGAGGACTTTTAACAAAATGAAATAAAGGCAAAATTAAAGAAGAGAATCAAGCAACCTATCCAAGCGTTCTTCAATTCCAAATTTTAGAATAAATAAAGGAGACAAAGCAAACTGTCCAAGTGTCCAATCATTCCAAAAACGACTTACAAAATAAAATGGAGGCGACACAAATATCCAAGCATCCACTTTATTAAATAAGAAGTAATCTTATACAAAAGTACAAGAGACAGTGTTTGAATATACTAAAACTACTCATATAAAAGACGGTAAAATACAAGTTGAATGAAAGTAAAAGACTACAATGTAAGAAAATGCTGATTGTTGTTTGGTCGAGACCTTTTATACGGTCTTCTGTAGCAATATGTATAGACAAACACCAAATCAGTTGAGACTATTTTTGACAGTTACAACTCCCATTTGTTCTAAATTCAAACTTCCCCTATTTGAAATTAAATACAAGTGTATTTGTTTTGTGCCAATCATGTACGTCATCAGAGCCTACAAACACGTCCTTTTGTATTTGTCATCAAACTTGTATGTATTAAAATCAAATAACTTGATGACATGGCACTAAACTTGCAAAATGTAATTTCCTACACTTGTCTTATTCATGGCATCTCACATGTTTATCCTAATCTTTGCCACGTGTCTTCATAGATTTTCTAAAACAAATATAATACCATATGCTGATATGGTAATCATCTTTGAATTGAATTCTAACGATAACAATCTCCAATTGACTCTTTTTAAAAACAAAATGACCTTTTTTCCTCCAATTGGCAAACACCATGTGGTTAAACAAAAATTTATTTTTAGAGTGCAAACAATGCCCCCTAGCTGTTTAAAAATGAGATCGGATCGAATTTTTGAATAGCTAAATTTGATGGATAGTGATCGACTGCTCGAATTTTTGAAGAGCTGAAATTGATGGACAGTGATCAACCGCTCCTTATTCAACCCTTCACATTGTTAATCGGCCCTTCATCTTCTGACAGTCCTTTAACCATTTTTCTAATTAGCACCTTATTGTCATCAGTCTTTCTCTATTTTGCTTGTTTGCATTCTTTTAGCCACTTTCTAGCTACGATAAATCCATCATAAGATCATTTTTAGCACTTAACCAATTAAGGTGCAGATAATGCATCACCACCAAAGCAACAAGTAAGTGGTTTATATGCAAAACTTAATTGTGTAAAGGCTAATTATTTTTAGCCTCTAGTTAATATCCAATCTCAGCACCAAATAATTGACAATTTCAGCCAAAACTTGCATGTTTGGCTATCAATCAACAACCCATACTTCTAATCGATTTTACTAATCGATTCTTCTTTGGTACCCGAAGTGGTTGTCGCAATGTCTCTTCTTGGATTAAATGGAAATTCCCTAGGCCTTTTTGGGATGATTCTTCTCCCCCCCGCCCCCCCCAGTTGACCTAATTATACTATTTGCCACAAGGTAATGATATTGACCTTTAGTTCTTGATGAGGGAGCAAATCAGGGTCACACACTCTCTTTTCAGCAATTCTAACATTTACATGCATTTATTTCAATTTTTTTTCTTCTT